TGTGTGTGTGTGTGTGTGAAATGGCCAGAGGTTATTATAAGAGCCTCCAGTCACCTCTAATATGCCTAACAATTCGAGTATCACCAACAGCGATCGTCGCTAAAAGGTGTGTGATGGCCAGAGGCTATTATAAGAGCCTCCAGTCACCTCTAATGTGCCTAACAATTCGATTATCACCAACAACGATCGTCGCTAGAAGAGGATTCGAGCCCCCCACCTCAGGGGACATACAACTGACTCGCAGATGCCAACCAACAAGTCCGGGTACACGGCATATATATATTAGCAAAAAAAATTATACGAAATTTAAAAATTTAGTTCGAGTAAGTGTATTAATTATGAAAATTAAAAAGTGGTTTTCTTAAATGAGGATCTTCAATATAGATGGGTGAGATATTTTGACAATTTTTTCAATGAAGATTATTCGAGTAAGTGTATTAATTATGAAAATTAAAAAGTGATTTTCTTAAATGAGGATCTTCAATATAGATGGGTAAGATATTTTGACAATTTTTTCAATAAAGATTACTCAATGAAGATTATAAAAATAGGATCAACTTTAGTAAACTTAACATCGTAATAATACCAAAGGATCAACTTTAGTAAACTTAACATCGTAATAATAACAATTTTTTTTTTTATTTTTATCATCACATAAGTAAAATAAAAGTTGAGGCTTTAAAGAAAATGATGTGTGAAAAAACATTAGGACTTAATGGCATTCCAAAATGTGTGAAAATAATTAGAAGATATGAGAATTTCTTGGCTTACTAAACACTTTAATGTTATTTTAAAAATTAAAAAAATATTTTATGAGTATCTTGGCTTACTAAACACTTTAATATTATTTTAAAAATTAAAAAAATATTTTATGAGTACAGAAAGAGTCTATTGATTCCTATTTATAAGAATAAAGGATATGAACAAGAGTGTGCAATTTATAGAATAATTAAGTTAATGTGTCAAAAATTAAATTTATGGAGAAAGTAATTGAACTTTAGTTGCGATGTGATACGAAAATTTCTCAAAATCAGTTTGGATTCAGATCGGACAATTCTAATATAGAAGTGTGTCAAAAATTAAATTTATGGAGAAAGTAATTGAACTTTAGTTGCGATGTGATACGAAAATTTCTCAAAATCAGTTTGGTTTCAGATCGGACAATTCTAATATAGAAGTTATATATTTATCGAGAGATTTGATAGAGAACTACATAGAGTAAGAAGAATCCAAATAATTTTTGTTTATTAAAAAAAATCTTATGATAAGATTCCAATAATACTTTGGAGAATTCTATAAAAGAAATTTGTTAATATTGCTTATATTCAAATCATTAAAGATATGTAGACTATATTAATTACTTGTGTTCAAACACACAAGGAGAATTCACCATGTAGTTTCCAATTTAAGTTGGATTACACCAGGCACCGGCTGCAAGCCCATATCTTTTTGTTTTAGTTATGGATGTTCTTATTGAACATTTATAGGAGGATGTACCATGGTGTCTTTTTTTTGTGGATGATATCCTTCTTATGGATAAGACTAGAGAGAGTTCTAGAAAAACTTGAAATACGACGGTCAATTTTAGAGTCTAAAGGTTTTAATTTGAGTTGATCTAAAATTGAATACATTAAGTGTAATTTTAGTAGTAGTGGTAAGGTTATAATAATGGGTAATCAAGTCATTAAAAGGAGTGAACATTTTAGATATCTCTGTTCATAGTGATAGTGATATATGAATATAGAGGATGTTATTAGTAGAATTCAAGTTGGATGGTTGGAGTGGAGGAATGCATCGGGCCAATTGTGTGATAAAAAAGTATCACTTAAACTTAAAGGAGGATTTTATAAGATTGTGGTGAGACCTGCAATGTTTTATGGCGTGGAATGTTGGCAGTAAAAGAGAAGCATAAAATTAAGTTAAGTGCTGCTGAGATGAAAATGCTCAAGTGCATAAGTGGCTTTATACTTAAAGACAAAATGTAAAACTATTATATCCATAAAAGGGTTGGAATGGCTCAAGTGGCTGACAAGATTAGAGAGAGTTGCCTTAGATGGTTTGGTCACATTAAACGTCCACCATCTGATGACCCACTTAGGAGAGTAAATATTATAGATTTGACTTATGTTAAGAGAAGTAGAGGTAGACCTGAAAAGACTCGAGCATATTGTATAAAAAATAACCTTAATCTATTATAATAAATGAAAATATAACACTCAATAGAACATAATGGAGAAAAAGGATTCATGTAGCCGACCTCCACTTAGTGGGATAAAGGCTTGTTTTTGTTATTTTTGAGAAAATAAAAGTAAAACAATAACAAACAGGGTTATTATAGCCACGATAGTTGTCATCATCACATCAATAGCATTGTTTCATATATCAAGACTTATCTTTATTAATTGCCTTCACTGTGTAAATATGAATTAAGTGTTGACGATAGTGAATGGTCTCGTTTATATAAATAAGTCTTCTAACATAATTTCTAGTTATTTTTCTTTGTATTCCTTTTCCAGAGTACTGCTATCAGTGGATCTTTTGTTCTCCGGCATACATTCCCAAAATACAATGGTCTCGTTTATATAAATAAGCCTTCTAACATAATTTCTAGTTATTTTTCTTTGTATTCCTTTTCCAGAGTACTGCTATCAGTGGATCTTTTGTTCTCCGGCATACATTCCCAAAATACAGATTTATTATCAACAATAGGTGTTATTCACACTCTCCATAATATAATCACTCGACATTTCAAGTTCTATAGTATTCTGATCTTTTTTTCTCGCATCGAATAAATTCAATAGCATAAAAATGATGACAACTTACATAACTCCACACAATTCCTCATCCTTATACTTATCCTTTCCAATTACATTACTCATCAAATGGTACTATATATATTCATTCTAGACACCCATTACTAACTATCCCAATAGCTTCTAAAATGTCTCGTATGTTTTAGGTAATCTGCAAAGATCAATTGTTTTGCCAATCAACTACCAACAAAGATTCCTTAACGAACATCTCTATCAAACCAACAAGTATACTCATAATCAGCCAAAATAATAATAATAATAATTATGATTATTTTGATCTGCTTTTCATTTCCATTACAATAATAAGTATGGCTGGAATATGATTTGAATTTTTGAAATCCAGCCGCTGCACCCAAAAAAAAATCTTCTATGTTAAGGGTTGAGATGAAGCAAGTTCATCGAGTAACAAATGAATGAAGCCCACAAAGAAAATTATTGATTATATAAAGGCATGAAAAAAACCGGTAACATCATTTAGAGAGAATGATTTGAGATGATGAGACAAGTCACAAAAGTAATACAAAACATTACAGTTGAAAGCAAATTTGTCAGCTAACCGAGTAACAAATGATACCTTTGCAAAACCTACATGGTGCAAGCAAAGCAAAAGAATAGAGAGAGAACTAGGACTCTAAAATTTCACTATAATTAATGTTAAGCCCCAAGAGTGGCTACATCTATCTCTTGAAATGACCTTCTAGTTCTGCATTTATAGGATTTTCGCGCTACAAGAGTGGCTACATCTAGAACCAAATAAATAAAAATACATAATTAGATAGTTATAGACACAAAGACATCAAAGTAACACTGTAGTCGAGGGAATTAAAAAAATTTGCCAATCATGTAGACAAGGCAATTAGTCTTCAGAGGAGAGAGATGAATTAGAGAAGTGTCTGGCTTCACTCTTCGGTGAGTGGCTCCTATTAATATAGATAGGTGACTCTAACAAGTGAACTTACAGGTTGAGCTTGTAGCCCTAACAAGTAAACATGCAAGCTTGAACTTAAAGCAAGACAAACACTAATAAGTAACTCTAAAGAGGGAACCTGTAAGTTGGGCGAGTGGCCCTAATAAATGGACTTACAAAGTGGGTGAATTGCATTAATGAGAGGACTAGCAGATTAGGCAAGTCACTCTGACTAGTTGACCTGCAAGCTAGACAAGTGGCACTGACAAGTGGCTTGATGAGTGGACCTTCAGGTTGGGCTAGCATTTGAGTAGACTGGTGAATTCCTAGTGATTTTACAAAAGGTCGTGAATTTATAATTGTCCTGGCAAGTTTAAGTTCACACCAAGTTCTTGACAACCCAAACATGTTCACATTGATCTAGGATTTAGCCCTCGCCATTTTAATCAAGCTGAGTTTTCCTGAACCTACTCGACCTAACTTCAAATGATTAAATAGAATATTTGGGTATAGAATTATCGTGAACATTTGATTACATCCTATACACAAATGTGTTCTTCATTTACTCAGCCAGAAACTATCTTTCACCAAATTTTAAATCAAGTTCTTCTACTTGCATATCTAATTCGGCAACAGTCTTGCATACCATACACACAACATGGATATTGAAGAGTGTGCTGGAAAAAATGTGTTCATAACTAGCAATAAGTAAAATTCTAACACCAGTAATACAACTAATAAATAATCAAATACCCGTAGCATGCTAAGAGGATGAGAATGGATTTAAAAAATGCAAAATTGACGAAGTTAGCAAGAAAAAAAGAAATTTATTGATTCCAAAGAAAAGTAGAAACAGAACTTTTGGAAAACAAGAAAGCTATAAAGTAAAATACAATATCAATAAACCGTACAAATGTTCTGCAGTTTCCTCGTCAAAGTTGTGCTGCTCGTTATAACCTGTAGTCTGTAAACATTCATAAAAATCAGCACTACAATACCAATCATTAAAGCTCAGCTAAAACAAAGAAATAGATCCAAGAACCTTTGTGTCCTTGGCTTTTCTGGAATCTTTACTCTTTTTCTTATCCTTGGCCTTCTCATGTACTTGTCTCGAATCAACTTCCTTGTTAATGTTTTTCTTCTTATCAAGCTCGAGTTCTGCCAAAAAGGCTTCTCTAGCAGCATCAGACTTCTCAGTCGCAGCTTTATCCACTAATGACTCCAAATGTAACTGGCACCAAAAAAACAGGTTCCATTGCAATACATAGTGTTAAAGTCAGGAACTGGAAAAGCATAAAGCTGGAGAACAATGTACTAACCCGAAGGAAAGACCTCACTAAAGGTATAATAATTGTCTGATAATCAAAAGCAGAAGCAGGGCCAAGCTTCGCTTCTAAGTGCTGCATGCCATTCATACTATGCATTAACTTTGCATCAAGCTTGTTGCGCTGCACCCCAAAAAAAATACAGATATAACCGCCATGTGACAGGTTAAAAGAAAATTTGTCCATGAAAAGCACAAAGTTTTCAGGCTTTCACATAAACTTCACTCAGCATATTAAATAAGCATACCTCAAGAGATAATTGCTCCTTTTGTCTCTGAATTGCTAATTCAATACAAGCATCAGCTTGTTGTGCATACTCATGCATTCTCCTCTCATCATTATCATATTCCAACTCGCACAAACGAGAAGTCACACTGGACAGAGTTTCATCATAACCAAATTTAGATATGCTCAAACCCTGTGATTCCTTAAGAACATTGGATATGGCATCCAACTCAAGTCTATTACTTGTATACATCTCATCATTCTCTCTTTCAATAAGTTCTTCTTGTCTTTTCCTAAGCACAACCTCATAACTTTGGGAAGCAAACTTCATAGTAGGATCCCTTTTCTTAAACTCTTCCATGCAAAGGTTCTGTACAGCCTGCAAGGCCTCCTCATAGCTCAAATGCTCATATTTTCTATCACACATGCTTTGCAAAAGGTAAATCTCCTTGTCAAGAATCTGAAGGGTTTCCATGCCTTGCTGAAATTTCTCTTCTTTCCTACGATTCCAGGCAGATAGTTCTTCCTCATATGACAAACAAAAAAATAGCCAGGAAACAATAGCATCAGAATCAGGGATAGTACATATATCGTCAACAAGGGATGATACATCAGATTTTCTAGAGCCAGTTTTTGAATGGAATAGACGACCATTTATAAGGAGCCTATCCGAATCACAGGTGAGACTGATTCCCTCTAGAACTTGACCTCCATTATCGGACTTGACTGGGTCACTAGCTGCATTATCCTTCTCACTGTATCTGACTAAGCCACATGACTGTGACAAATCCTGCAAAAACTTGAGCACCTTCCTAAGCTGGGGTGCACCCAAGAAACAAATGCATACGGGTGACTGGTCAAGTTCACTATTCAGCAGCAGTGAACCAGATAATGAACCTTTAAGATCTTCCACTGCAAATTGGATCACCTTGTTGAGATGGCTAACACAAAGGTTCTTATGTTTAATGAACAGATGAAACATTCCTTGAATCCTTTCAAGAAGTTTGGCTCTTTCCAAATCATCAGACAATGGCCATCTCTGAGACGAATCCAAAAAAAAGGTTGAGAACTGATTCTCCCTCCCCGCTAAAACATACCCATTCCTCTCATGCACATTATCTCTCTGTTTTGGTGCTGAGAAAGAATCTGAATTATCTTTTGAACTCCAGTATTCAGATATGCAATCCTTATCGTTATTAATCCTAGCTTCAGAGTTTTCATCATCAAGAGCCAAATGCTTCTTTTCAATAGCATCTTCTAACATTTTCACTGCTGAAGCTGAATCAATGGGCTTCCAGCTCCAATTCTGAAGCATCTCAATCCACTTGACATCAACTTCTTGAGGCAAAACAGATTGCAACTTGGGCGAAAGGCTGCCTACATGCTCCTGCATTACATGTTGGACATGAGTATCAGAATCTGTAAACTTCTTCATACAGCGGCAACAAACCCAGTACTTCCATGTGCCATTGGAGCTAACAAAATTGAGGGCCTCAGAGAAAACATCAGATGCAAGGCTATCCTTTGATGATCGTGCATAGTGCTCCTTAAGATCAGCAACCCTCACTGAAAGAAACTCAAGTTTCTCGTCAGCACTCATTGAATTCCAATGGAAGCGTGTCTGCTCCATTCTCTCAGCAGAAGATGAATGTCGTCGTGAGTTGTTTGACCGGCGACGTTCCCGACTACCAGAAGATGATGGCGGCTCATTGCACTGGGTGTCATCCACAACTGATGCAGGTGAGTTAGACTTGTGCTGAAGCAGAATAGCAGCTGCAACACGTACTTCAATGTCCTTGCGGCGCTCCTCAAGGGTCTTAGTGGCCTTCTTGATTTCATTAGGTCTGCGAGTTGGTATGACAGTGACTTCCATGGGGTCCTCCATCAGGGGGCGCATAGGAATCAATCTAATATTCTCCTCACGTCCAGAGCCATTGCCTAAGTTCTTCACCCAATTTGAGAGTGAAGCGAGGTTGGACTTCTGAATGAGAGAGCGAAGCTCCTGCTGCACGTGAGCAATCCGGGCCTGGGCATTGGTGAACTTCTGTTGGCTTTCTTCCTGAAGGCTCTCCTTGGCTGGATCAACAGGGTCCGCAATGGCAAGCGCGCGTTCGCATTCCTGGACGACTTCGTCATAAGCGGGACCGTCATTGGCAGCCTCGTAGAGAAGGTTCGCATAGAAGTGAGCAAACTCAATCGAGTTTGGGGATAACGCGACGGAGCGGCGAGAGGAGTCGATCGCACTACGCAAGTGCCGGAGCTTGGTGTTGGGGTCATCAAGCAGGGAAGCGATCTTGAAGAAGATGGTGCTGTGGACACGGTGGAATAGAGCGGAGGATTCGTGACGCTGATGCGCATCCTTCATGAGACGGAGGGCCTTGGTGTGGTTTCCCCGGCGAAGCGCTGTCAGCGCACGCTCGCACTCCGCCTTTACGGCTGTAGAATCCGATAACGTCTCCGCCGGCGGAAGTTCCGCCGGGGGAGTGCGCGAAGGTCGATGGCTAGGGTTTCGTTTACGGACCATAGAACAATCTCTCGTGGTCGCCTTACCTCTGTCAAAGCCACAATTCCAACTCCGACTCCGACCCTCATCTAATGAAGCGACCTAGCTATACAGAGGAATAGCAGTGCGGAGAAAAGATGCGTACCAAAACCGGAGAAGGAGAGAACATGGGCGGCTGTGGCGGCAGATCGTCCTCCACCGTAGCGGGGAAATGGATTGCAGGAGCACAATAGCTTTCCTTTTTCGGTATTAATGGGAGGCGACGTAGGAATCCATGGATTGGAGCTCTGAAAGAGGGCGGGGAAGGAGTGGAGGAAGAAGACAGACTTCACTAGCCTTACGAGGTAAAGGGCGTACCACCGTTTCTCTCGGTGAATAGCTAAGCTGATCTGCATTTTTTCTGTTTGGTTGATAATATATTTTCGGGCCAATTACTTACAGACCACCCAAAACTTGCTATTTATAAATCAACCCTCTTTTTTTTTCATCCATTTTTCAAATCCCTACTAAAATATAAAAAATAATGATAAAATCCTAACTCCTATTTTTATTTTTATTAAATTATCAATCATAACTCATATTTTTATTTTAATCAATTATTTTTATTACATGTTGAAATATTCTCAATCATAAAGATAGAGGGCATGGGAGTAGAAAAATCATGTGACATAATTTAATTAAAATAATTTCATTAACATGAGTCATTTATTACATATGACATTTTGTTTAACTATAAAAAGGCATTAGTATAATCTAATAAGCATAAATTATAGAAAATGACGTTCATTATGAAAGGAGAAAGAACTTTTGTGCATTAGAGTTATCGTCAAAATGTGCTCATTAGTACAATCAATTGTTAGTATAAAAGAGAAGATCGATAAATAGAAAGTTAGGACCTCAATGATTATGATTGACCTCAACAATAACGTAAATAATAGGTATAATCAATGATGGTACTGTCAGTTATCAGTGATGTCGGGAATATTATTCATTATGATAAGAGTTAACATTGTGCTTGCTTTGAATGCGGACCAGGTAATGGTTAAAATTTATCATTCAAAAACAATATATCATTTCAAAAAATAAAATATTATCCATTGATGAATCCAATAATGAATATTTCCTTAAGAACATAGGTTTATCACCACAAAAAATTATCCCTTATCCACAGTTCATTTTATTATAGGGTATAGATTTTGTATAGGACAATCCCCTGTAATTAATTACATCTTATTAGTAATAAATCATTTAGAACGCTCAATTAAAATAGCGGCATGTTTCTGTGTATTTCAATATTTTTAATCAAGATTATTATTTAGGAAACGATTGGGTTCCCTCATGTACAAACAATTCTTTTAGAAAAAAAACTAAAGAGAAAAGGAAACCAGTTTATAGCTGAGGGAAACATGGTACCTCATTTCTTTAAGGCTATGTTGACCCAAGAAGTGAAGTTGACAAAGTGTGACTTGTGTGCAATTGTTCTAATTAATACATTAATTTATATATTTTTTGTATTTTATTTAGTTCCTCAATTCATTTTGAAGGCAACTACTATGCTACTAATGCATCAAATCAGAAACTTGCCTAATGCTCTCATAAAATTTATAGAATTATTTAGGCACATTTTGATATCTTTTATTTGTTTTATTTATTGGTATTAATTTTAAAGAAAATTAGCCTTTAATTTAATTAATTTAATTTTCTTAAGTTCTAAAAATTGAAGAAATGTATCATTGACTAAAAATTTTCCTAATCAAATATTAATATTTAAAATTTTTGTTTTAAGTTTTAAGTTAAATAATAAAGAAAATCAATTTTATTTTAATTTTAATTTAATATTTAAATTAATTTTATTCGGGTAAGGGGGTTTAAGCCATGACTATGAGGATTCTCTATGGATAAGTTTGGAGAGGTTTTTAAATTAATTTAAAGCATTTAATCATCAAATTAATTTATTCAACTAATTTACAAATATAATTATTATGAAATAAAAAAAACAACTTATTTCACCATGTTGGAGGTGATCAAAGCCTGCAGTCCTACAATGATGATGATTGAGCGGGGATGAGTATAACATTGGTAACAATAGTGGTGGATGGGCAGCATGATAGTGATATATAAGTGATGGTAACCAAGTGACAGTGTTCCAGCAACTACGGTGGCCCCGTGATGACGGTCTGACACTATGGAAACCCGACATTAGTGCTCTAGTACAATGGCAACCAACGAATGTGGTCCAATATGTTGATGGCTCGATGGATGTGTGTCATGGCAGCAACCCAAAGAAAATGGTCTTCATAGTGGTGGTATGATGATGATAGTGTATGAGGGCATCATGGCAGCAGCCCAATGATGATGCAGCACATTGGAGCCTTAATGGTACAACCCGATGACAACAATCTAGTGCAGTGGTAGTCCAATGATTGTGATGCATCATGACAACGGCTTGACCTTGGTGCATCATAGTTGTAGCCTGATGGTGGTGCATCATGACAACAATCTGACAATGATGGCCCAGCGCAATGGCTGTCTAATGATGTGTTGCATCATAATAGCAGTACAACAATGGTGCATCAGAGTGGCGACCTAATGGTGGTGCATCATGACAACAACCCAAAGGAAGTGGTCCAACATAGTAGTGGTTCGATGACAATGGCACATCCTGACAGTAGCCTGACAATGGTGCAACACAGTGGCAATTGCTTTATAGACAAGGCAATGATTGTCTAATAATAATGGTTGCAATCTAACGATGTCAATTGTGAGATAAAGGTCATAGCAAGAACCATAGATGATGATCCAACAATGATGGTAATGGTGGAAACACCTCATCGACTACGTTATAAGGCTTAAGCATGGCAAGGAACCAATAATAGTGGTCCAACTACAATAAATTTGGTCCAATAAAATTAATTGGGTGACGATGATGGTAGCAGCACCATTGATTGAATAATAATGGATTACAACAGTGGTGCACTGTGATGACAATAGTTGCAATCAAAACAAACAACAATGTACTGCAATAGTGGCAGTTGTCAGGTATTGATAATCCTACAATGAAGTTTGTGATGGTAGTAACACATTTTTTTCAAGATGATAATTTGATGATTGCACTGGGGTTCAACAAAATTAACTGAGTGATGGTGGTTTTAATAGGGATGGTGTACAACAAGTGCGGTGGTGGCCTGATGATAAAAATCTTGCACTATGATGACCTTATAGTATTGTTCCAGCATAACAACAACCTAGAAATAGTGGTCATGTGATGGTAGTTGTGGTTGAGCAACGATGATCAAGTGATAGTGATGATATTAGCCAAGCAATGCTGGCAGACCAATGAGGTTAGTATAGCATTCTAATGTTGATCTGGCGGCAAAGATAGCATGCCATAAAGTAGCGGCGATCAATAATTTGTGGCTTGATGTTGGCCAAGTGACGATGGTCGTGAGGTGGTGACAACCCGACAACGTTGGTCAAGCAATGATGGTCTAACGATAATCAAATTGAATTGATGATGATGGAGGTAGTGGATTGGCATCAAGTGGGTGTTTGTGATATGGCGAAGATAGTTACAGCTGCTTCGTTGGCAAAGGAATAGAGGAATGATAGTCCAAGAATAAATATTATGGTCCAATGATGTTGATCGGGTGATTATGGTTTGACAACAATAGTTGAAGATAGTGACCCATCTATGGTGGCAACAATGAAAATAGTCAGGTGATTATGATGGTTCTATAGAATTTGATGGGTGATGGTGATTTTATGACGACGTCGATAGCCAATTAATAGCGGTCTAGCGATAATAGAAATGTCAAACAAGAGACTGTAGGTATTGATAATCTTACAATGAAGTCTGTGATGATAGTAACGTATTTTTTTCAAGATGATAATTTGATGATTGCACTGGGGTCCAACAAAATTAACTGAGTGATGGTGGTTTTGATGGGGATGGTGTGCAACAAGTGCGGTGGTGGCCTGATGATAAAAATCTCGCACTATGATGACCTGATAGTATTGTTCCAACATAACAACAACCTAGAAATAGCGGTTATGTGATGGTAGTTGTGGTTGAGCAACGATGATCAAGTGATAGTGATGATATTAGCCAAGTAATGGTGACAGACCAATGAGGTTAGTATAGCATTCTAATGTTGATATGGCGGCAAAGATAGTATGCCATAAAGCAGCGACAATCAGTAATTTGTGGCTTGATGTTGGCTAAGTGACGATGGTCATGAGGTGGGGACAAACCGACAACATTGGTCAAG